ATCTTGTAAACAACGTTAGGCACCATATCGTGCAATATCGTAACGCCTTGTGAAATGAGTTCATGCTCAGAGTATGTTTTGACTAGGACTCTCAGCTACATCAAACTTTAGCAAACTTTAGAGTCAGACAATTTTGGTGTCGCTAAAGTTGATGAGCTGTGGCAGCTCTTTTGAATTGTGCTGTGTCATCTTTAATGGGGTTGACGCCAACAGTTAATCAGTTGTAGGTGTACATCCAATGAGTTCTTCTGAAGGGTTCATTAAAATCAACAGATATTCAGCTAACGCTACAAACAAACAAATAGGCACTGGCAACAACATCCTCGTCTCTCAGTATCGGTGCCAGGTAATAATACGTGTTAAAGGGATCCCCGATTAGTTGTAATATTAGACTTTATTTAACTGTAAAATAAAGACTGTAAAAATACTGTAGGCTGTTTAGTTTTTATAATTTTTAAACTAAAATTTAAAAAATATATTACATGGACGGAGCCATTTTATTTACATGCAAAGCATTTTGGATAAATGATGATGTGGATAGGTCCTTGGAGCGAGGATGCTAGCGAGCTTTATCCACCCTGAAGGTTAATCTTGGACAATATCTGATGATCGACTCTTTTAAATGAAACCAGAGAGCGTTGACAGAGAGGAGAAGGTAGAAATGACTCAGCCTGGAACTGAAAATATGGATGGAGGACCTCAGTTTAGCTTGTTTGTCGCACTAGTGCTGAGCTAATACATATAAGTCAATATAGCATCGACGCTAGCGCCAAGGCTAACAGGCTAAGATGAGGTTCTTCTTCCATGAAGCAGCTCTGTTGTCCTCCATCAATGTGATGTGGTGCTACTAGAGTTTAGGTTTAAAAATCAAGGTGAAGATGAAGAAGAGCTGGAAACATGTTCGGACTTGAATACCTGTTGGTTTGGAGCTCTGTGTGACCTGCTGGTGCCAACCGGCTGTGATTTCTTAGACCACAGACTTTGTTAGCTCCTCGGGGATTAATGACTCCTCGCACATTGAGAAATGTTTACCACTGGCCTGCGACCACTCCAGCAGACACACTAAGAGCTCTGTCACTGAAACAATAACGCAGTCTGAAAAGCCCTCATAACTCAGAGCCTCTCCGCCTCTGTCTTTTAACCAGAGCTTTAATCAACGTTTATGACATCCCTTTGTCTCTTTATTGCCAATATATTTCCTAACCAATCCAAACATTATGCTTCCAGAAGAACCGACTATTAAAGGTCGGAAAGAGCCGATACAGTTTGGGTCAGTGACCTACACTAAAGCAGATTTGATCTATATTATACTAAGTCTTTTATGATTATGCCTTTGTGGAAGGATTTTAGGTAAGTTCACCTTGGGATGAAAAGATACTGTGATGATGTTTTGTGAAAGCAGATGCAGAAAGTGAAAGAGGTGACACATTTATAAACAGCACTTTAAAAAACAGTATTTCAAGTCAAAAATAGAAAGCAATTATTCAGATAGTATTTTCTGTGTCTAACTTTTTTTAATCCAAAATGAAGACACATGAACAAAGAACTCATTAACAAATATTGTATCAACAAGTCTTTTGGTGATTTGTGCTTTGCAGTTTCATAAAGTTAATCTCTGTGTTTCTTGGGAAAGTGCATATTAGAAAGATTTGACCTTACATAGACTCAAATGAGCTATGTTATATAGGGACACATATAGAGAGAAACGAGACAAACAACCATTCATTCTCTCAGTCACACCTAGGGACAATTTTAGAGTTACCAATTAACCTAACAGTCATGTTTGTGGTCTGTGAGAGGAAACCAGAATATCCAGAGAAAACCCACACATGCACAGAGAGAACATGCAAAYTCTACCCAGAAAAGCCGGGGTTCGATCCGGCGACCTTCTTGCTGAAAGGCAACATGTCAGATACCAGTTTTTCTGAATATACCGAGCACTTGACTTGGAACGTAAACGAGGGTTATTCAACTGGCGGCCCACGGGCCGGATGTGGCCAAAATTCAACCCTCCGATTGGTTCATTCATCTCTTAAGCACAAACCACTGGTTGTCTACTTTAATTACTCTAAGTTCTTTTAGTTAAACATAGACATGTTTGGTATCTACAGAAATGTCAGAATCTTGGCTAGAAGCTGGTAAAAACAATGGGCCTCATGCAAGAACCGTTCGTACGCACAGATTTGTTCTTAAGTTGTGCGTACGAGTGATTTAGGAG